CCAGCTCTCAGTACTGAATCCCCTCACCTGAGCTGTGCACAGCCAGCCCTGTTTCCCTAGCAGGATTCCTAACCATGCAAGTGACCACCCAGAAACAGGTTAGATGGCCTTCCCTGTGAGAATGGGTGTCCATTCCCTGTGAGAATGGGAGAAGAGATGGTTTTTCTTTAGGGATATTCACTAAAAAGAATTTGGAGAATGAGATAGGATATGACTCTTCTAGAGATAGACAGCATTTTGTGTGAAAAACACCATTGTTAAATAATATCTATAGAAAATGTAACTTGAGGGTGTTTGATAAAAGCTTCATGTCGAAATGAGGAGTCAGGTCCTGCTCACAGTGATTCAGATCTGAGTATACTGGAGGGGGGGTTGGTAAAGACATTTGCTATTTTTATAATAACTTAGACCCATCAGACAATAAATGGGTTGATGGTTAGCTGCAGATCCTGTACACTTTGACAGTTGGGTTTCCAGCACTCCTCTACTCCAGGTCTTGCTGGTTGATGTGTTTCCTTTCCATTCTGGTGGTGCTGTTTCCCTGTGCTGGAGACAGGCAGCTCTCATGAGAAGTGGCAGGTTACACAGTGGAGTGAGCAGAGATGACCTCAGGAACCCAGCTGACAGGCGAGACACAGAGGCCCCAACCAGCCCCACAGCTGGACCTTTAACCCTCAAGGGTGTGACTTGGTTAGAGGATCAGGCATCAGCCAACACAGGAACTCAGTGAAAGTGGAAAGAGAGGGTCGCAGCCTCCAGCAAGGAAGTGTTCAGTATGTGAGTGTGCCTAAGGCCTGGGGGAATAAACCACGGTGGGATTAGGGATTTTTTTTTTTTTTAATTTAATGCTGCTAAGGCAGAGCATACTGGTGTATTTAACAGTGTCACAATACACAGGCACATTTTTTAAAGCTGTATTTTTCTCAGGATTACTTTTTTTTTTTTTTTTTTTTTTTTTTTAACAGTTTAGCTATGATTTGAAAACCAGACGGAACTAACCAGTTATTGTCACAGACTTTGGCTCCTCAGCTAATAAAGACTCCCTACAGAAGCAAGTAGTGGATCCCTACAGAAAGAGCCATTAGGTGGAAAAATTCACCTAGTTTATTAGATTTTCCTTCTCACAGCCCATTTATTTGTGAGCTGGCATTTGTGAGAAGTGGGCAGAATTTGCTGACAGTTGCTCCCTGAGAATCTTGTGACTGTCTGTGAGATGCCCCCTCTGCCAGTGAGCTAACTCTCAGAGATACCCATGGCAGAATTCTTCAAAAGACCTCTTCTGACATCACTGATATTCTGCCTTATGGCTATTTTTGTTTATTTGTTTGGTTTTGAATATAGATTGGAAAGCCTTAGCCCACTGATTATAGAGGAGAGGAAGCAATTAGATCACTCTGCTGATTAGCTGCTAAAAAAAGACATTTTCACTACTAGGAGACAGTTCCTGGCCTTCCATCTCAAGGGGCAGGCATTAACTACCCTTTGTCTTAGATCATCTTTTCAAGGAAGAGCTAATGACCTTGGTAGACGGAGCTAATGTCTCCCTCCAGAGCAAAAGGCAGACTTGCTAATTATCCAGTATAATAAAGACAATGTCCCCCTTCAGGATGAAAGGAAGGCTTGCTCACAGCTCCTTGTAAAGATGAGCGTTCCCTAAGCCTAGGGTCCTTAGCTGTGCTGCCAGCCACCTTTCACCCAGAGTGGGGGTCCACCACCCTCTGCCCTCCAGATGTCAAAGACAGCACACGCTTTTCCCAGCCTATGCTGGGGCACAGAGCACTTTGTTTCCTATCCAAGAGTCCTTTGTCTTCTGCCAACATCCCTGACACTGTGGCACACTAGTGAATAGCTTGCAAGCTAGACAAAACCTCAGATCCTTCCCAGTTCTTCCCAGGTACCCTAGCACTATAGAAAAAAAAAGTTCTTCATAAACCTTGGTGGAGACAGTGCTGAAATTCACTGAGTGGACAGTGAACATATTTAATATGCACAGTTGGTATTTCGTATGTTAGTTTATCATAGCATAGGAATTATTGACATTTTCTAAATATCTATATATACTATTGTGTATTAACATCAACCCTAATAAAAAGGATTTTGGCTTTTATCTGGCTGAGTTCCATCTAGAGTTAGAACTATTTGTGATTTGTTAACTGAGTGTCTACCAGTAGCTTTCTGCAAGCTAAGAAGAAAATATAATATACATACTTTCTATCTATGTGTCTGTATATGAAAACCTTCCCAGTGTTCCTGCCAGCTCAGCCCTTTTGGAGGAATTACTTTATGTTATGAATAAGGATACTTTTTAATATCTGCAAAAGGCAGTAGTAGCCAGCTCAGTGTATTTCATGGGGTCAGCTGTGTCTGTCAAACTTTTTGCTTAAGTGTCCAGTGTTCTTTAAGATCTTTTTCTCAATAGCCTTGAATTGACCTTTGAAAGATTTATAGCATTTCAAAAGGTTGAGTGAAAAGGATGGTTTCCCATGTTCAGGAAAACAGAACAATCACAAAACAATCAATCAGTCAATTGGGTTCCATGCTGATGTAGGGAGGACCAGGGATCATGAATAGGCACCACAAACCTGTCCCTAGGCTCCAGAGCATAACCTGGACACCCATCCAGTCCAGTGATATGTTTCACACCTATGGGTGGAAGCCTGAAGGTGTGAGACGTTGCTGATATACCACTGTCCTGGGCCAGGTAAATACTAGTTAACCAGCACCATGACTCACGCCAGAACTAGAAAATCTGGAAGTAGCTAGGTCCAGCAATTTCTACTTTAACAAACCTCCTCCCCAAGTGATTGACATCCCACAGTCAGAGACACCCAAGGTGGTGTCCAGCAGGAACTCATTAGGTGTCAAGAGAGAACAAATCATTTCGCCAATGAAGGTTTAACATTATTTTTAGTAAATACTACAGTTTTTTATTTAATAAAGTATACCTATACTGTCCCAGGCATTATTAAGATGCAAAAATGATGAAGACATTTCACAAATTTCTCAAAGGAGCTAAACTATGACTCAGACAAAATCGAACTTGCCACGTATCCTGTAGATAAAGTTAGATTAGGAGCAGTCACCCCGGACATTCGCGTCACTTACGGTTGCTGTTAGGAAACCGAGCCATCGAGAAGTGCAGCCGAGGCTAAGCAGCACACAAAGAAGTAAATTCCCTAACTGGAGCTTCCTCTGAACGTTGACTGACATCCAGCCTAGTGCTGAAGGGGAGTCACCCTCCACATTCTCAGAATATGCAAGTGGCACTCAGGAGCAGGTACAGGGTTCAGGGTTTCTCCTGTCACCCAGTAATGTACTGTATAGATGTTTTGTCGTGGCAGAAAAATCTGGCCATGGGTACATTGGAAAGAGGACCGGACAAACACCCAGGTGTATGGATGCAAGGAAAGGGTGTGGGAACAGAGGCAGAGATTAGTATAGAAGTAGCTAAATTTACAGTCATGGCTGAGGAAGGAGGACGTGACCTAGATAAAAAGCTAAAATAAAAGATGTGTGCTATAAGATCCAGCTGGGAAGGAACTCCAAACGGGCTTATTTGAACATTCCAGCTGCCTAGCTCAGGGGTGGGCAGGAATTGTGGAATGCTGAAGCCAGACAGAAAGAGTGAGCTGACAGGCTGGGCAGGGGCATACTCCCTCCCACCCGGGTGGACCTGCCTGAGGTTGGTGTGTACACACTAGTATGTTGCTTGTCTCATTGCTACAGAATATTTGACAGAAGCAACTGAAGGAAGGGAAGGTTTTTCCTGACTCAGTTTGAGGTACATCATGGTAGGGAAGGGTTAGAGGCAAGAGCACGCAGTACCTGGTCACACTGCGCTCACTGTCAGGAGGCAGAGAGTGATGACAGCTGATGCTCAGCTTGATATATAGCTCCAGTTTAGAGTGGATCCTGGCACCTCAAGCTCTCCTAGGTGATGCTAGGTCCTGTGAAGTTGACAATCGATTCTAGCCATCACAATACCCATGAGTCTTTTCCTCCAGGCTCTCCAGGTCCCTTTCTCCACAAACTGCTCCCACTGTAAGGCCAATTGATGCTGACTGTGCTCATTAGTTTCTATTGTCAACATCCAGGAGGAGGGAGCCTTAATTGAAAAATTGCCTTGATCAGATTGGCCTGTGGCCATGTCTGTAAGAGACTGTCTTGATTTGATGATTGATGTGGGAGGGCCCAGACCTCTGTGAGCTAGCACCATCCTAGGCAGGTGGGCCTGGGTGGTATAAGAAAGTTAGCTGGGGCTAGAGAGATGACTCAGCGGTTAAGGGCACTGACGGCTCTTGCAGCAGCTAGCACCATCCTAGGCAGGTGGGCCTGGGTGGTATAAGAAAGTTAGCTGAGGGGCTAGAGAGATGACTCAGCAGTTAAGGGCACTGACGGCTCTTGCAGAGGACCTGGGCTCCATTCCCAGGACCCACATGGTGGCTACGAACCATGTGTCACTCCAGTCTAGGGGAATCTAATGGCTTCTGACCTCCATGGGCATTGCACGACATTTCCTGCATACATGCAGGAAATACACTCATATACATAAGAAACAAAAATAATCAGTAAACTATTTTTTTGAAATAACGCCCACTGAGAGTGAGCCAGAAAGCAACATCCCTCTTTGGTTCCTACTTGACTTTCTGCCTCGACTTCCCGCAACGATGGACTGTTACCTGAAAGTGTAAACTGAAACAAACTCCTCCCCAAGGTCGGTGGCTTTTATCACAGCCGCAGGGGAAACTAAGTCCCTGACCATGCAAAGAAGGCCTAGGGCTTCCCTCTGGGACCCTCGGGGTATTGCTGACCAATTCTAGAACAAACCAGGGAGTTCCTTCCCTTGCAGGATTGGTGGTTATTTATTCCTAGCTTGTGTCTAATGACAGATTCCTTCTTTTGCCCAGAGATCATTTCCTGCCAAAATGTTTAGAAAAGGATAAATGGCCAGGCCGGATCCATGTGTGTGACCATTTTTCTCATTTTTTTTTCAGGAATTTTTCTTTAAATGTGGAGCACACCCGACCTCCGACAAGGACACGTCAGTGGCTTTGAACCTGATCACAAGCAACAGTCGCAACATCACCTGTATTACGTGCACAGATGTCAGGTAAGGCTCTGGGGAGCAGTCCCCTCCATATCCCCCTTTCCCAGGCTCATCCTCCTGACACACCTTCCCTGGAGACCTCTCTTCTTGGTGAGTGTCTACCCTACTCTGATGGTGCTGCCAAATCTGTGCCCATTGTAAGGTGATGACATGCTTTACGATGCCAACTACTTGAATTATTCAGCCCTGAGATACCTGAAACGGAATATTTAAATTAGTGTCATCTTAGTTCATTTTGAAAGACAGACTCATCCATATCAGTGAGCTCTAAAATAGAATTAAAATATGATGTTAACATTGGGGATGGAATGACAGTTGACGAATGCCACCTGTTCCCGCCAGGGCGCGTTCTTTAACACAACTTTTCCGTGCACTTCAGTTCTTCCACGCGTTTTCCTTGTTCATATTGGGGCTTCACAGTCATTCTTATATCCAAAATGAAATCATGACTAATTTGGGACCCAGTTATTTCAAATCCCAGTGAATAAAAGGAAAGAAAGAAAATGTGGAGATAGTGTGTCAGCATAAAAGGGTGAAAAATGACTAGCGGTAAATAGTCACTTAGGAGCCAAGGTCAAGGGAAAGTGGAATCTAATCTGTAGAGTAAGCAGTGGACGGGGCGTTCCCTGTTCATTTTAGATGTACAGAATAAAAGAAACTAGCTTCAGCTTATAGTCTACGAAGTTAGCTAAGCAAAAGTGGAGATTTAGCCCCGAAACCAAAAAGAACATTGTAGTAAAATGCCAAAATAAGTTACCGAATAAAGTCAAAGAGTCCCTTCTTCCATGCTTTTAAACAAAAGCAGTCATTTCCATGTGGCTTCTCAGTTGGCCTTCGGGACTGAACTAGATGGTCCTTTAAAGTCGCCTCAGATTGCCCTGTGGGTGTTAATATCCCTAACATGGTATTTCTAATGTGGATTAACAGAAGCCTAAAAGTTTTAAAAACATCCACCAACCAAACCTGCTTCCAAGAAGGAAAGAAAACACACACTTCCCTTTCTGCTGGACCGTTAGTTACTGCTCTGGCAGGAAATGCAGTAATAGCCCCTGAAAGCGACAGCAGGCTCCACGTTTGGAGAAGCGAGTGACAGCACGTGGCGAATGCTTTCAACAGGCAAGGCAGTGCTTCCAGGGTTTCAGGAAGGAGGCCGGCAGCACTACAAACCGTGGCTCGCCCCTCTGATAGCAACAGCCAATTAAAGTAATCTTTCTTTGGAAGGGTTTTCAAAGGAAAAAGTCAAAATACTTTTCAGTAAGTCCAAGTGGAGCCCACCAGCCGGTATTTTAAAATCTTCCATGATCATTGACAAAGATGAATTTAGAATGTGAGTGAGGAGGGTCCAGAGAGACGGCTCAGTGGTTAAGAGCTCTTCCAGAGGACCCGGGTTCGGTTCCCAGCACCCACTTCAAGGGGCAGCTCACAACCACTGTACTCCAGCTCCATGGGATCTGATGCTCTCTTCTGGCTTCTGCATGAATTTGCATACATGTGACATACACAAGCACACATATGTATATACATAAATAAAAGCGTGTAAGGATCATATTGTCTGGCTGAAAGCACTGTCCTCTCATACCCTTTGTATTAACAACTGGCAACAATTTTTTTTTTAACAAAATAGGGCACTTCCCTCCCAGATAATACAGGGAGATAACTGGAGAAAGTATGTTGTTGGGATAAAAATTTCTGTTATTACTTTGAGCATTTTAATAAATAGAAGTGGGGGCTAGAGAGATGACTCGGTGATTAAGAGCACTGGTTGCTCTTCCACAGGACCCAGGTTCAATTCCCAGCACCCACATGTCAGCTAACAACTGTCCATAACTCCAGATCCGGGGGCTCCGATACCTTCTTCTGACCTCCGTGGGCACTGCACAACACGGGTGTGCTTTCATACCTGCAAGCAATACACTCATATACATAAAATAATAAAATAAATATAAGCAACTATATTCAGTCAAAATTCAAGTGTGTATATAGCCAGCCATTTGATTGAGGGAAGTCTGTTCCATAAGCAGAGGAATTCCTTGAATGAAGGAAAAAGAAAAGACCTCACTTTGATAAACTTGTGCACTAGGATGTCCCAAGTCTGTAAGGACACTCCAGTATCTCACACTGTATAGTGGTCATTGTCTCCCTCCTTCCCACAGAATAATAGTTCATTCTGGGTCAATGAGATAGCTCAGCATGTAGAGGGACTTGCCACTCAAATATGATAACCTGAATTCAATCCCTGGAGTCCATGGTGGAAGGAGAGACCTGATGCTCCAAATTATCCCTTGATCTCTGCATGTGTGATTCATGTTATACACACACACACATGCACATGCACACACACAAACACGGGGTGAGGGGGGAACAAACAGAAACAACACACACAGTATTAATAGGATGTCACCATGCACATTTATGATGAGCAGTAAAAATGTGGATCAGAGATCTGCAAGAAATTAGAAGACATAAGGCTGTGTTCATCAGTCACATAATAATGTTGTAATAGGGATACAGTAGGAAGGGGAGATTACAGACTTATTATATTTGACATGACATCATGCTAAGTTGAATATCCATGAAGGTAAAATTTTGAGTAACTGCCTAAGAGTCTCACGTGACAGTGCTCTGTCACCCTGGTATTGATCATTTATACTACATCTGGCTTCTAGAAAACCAACTAGACTGAAATCCATATGCTTTTAAGTTGATAAAGGTGACATTAGGGCCAACAAGATGGCTCGATGGGCAGTGATACCTGCCACCAAACCTGATGACCTGAGTTCAATCCCGGGGACCCACAGGGTAAAAGAAGAGAATCAACTTTCATAAGCTGTCCTCTGACCTCCACATTCAGGCCATGGTATGTATGAATGTATAAGAACACAGCACACAGCACACAGACAGACAGACAGACAGACAGACAGACACACACACATGTGTGTTTTGTTTTGAAATTGATGACTTTGAACTTCAGATTCTCCTGCCTTCATCTCTAGGATGCTGGGATTACAGGAGTGTGCCATCATACCCAGTTTATAAGGCTCATCCATGCATGCTAGGCTAGCACTCTGCCAACTGAGTTTAATCTCCAGTCTGAAGGTTACGCAGAATGTGACTGCTTACATAAACGTTCCATGGATATTTTATTTATTTTATTATTTTATTATTTCATTTCATTTATTATTTTATATTTTATTTGGTCTTTTTGAGACAGGGTCTCTTCTGTAGCCCCAGCTGGCCTGGAACTTGCTCTGTAGACCAACCTGGCCTTGAACTCACAGAGATCGGCCTGCCTCTGCCTCATGAGTGCTGAGACAAAGGGTGTGGGGCACCATGCCCTGCTTCCATGCATAGTTAAAAAGAAGTAATAGGCTAGAGAGATAGCTCAGCAGATAAGAACACTGACTGTTCTTGCAGAAGACCTGGGTTTGAATCCCAACAGCCACATGGCAGCTAACAACTGTTCTTAACCCCAGTTCCAGGGGATGTAACTCCAGTTCCAGGGGATCAGACAGTCTTTTCTGTCCTCACAGGCATTGCACGACACGGGTGCACTTACCCTACATGCAGGCAATACATGCATACACATAAAATAAAAATGATAAATAAAAGTTTTTAAAAATAAATAAATAATTGTAATAAATAAGGTGAAATTTAAACAAGTAGTAAGTGGGGCTGGAGAGACGGCTCAGTAATTAAGAACACTGACTGCTCTTGCAGAGGACCTAGCTTTGATTCCCAGCACCCGCATGGCATTCATAACTCCAGTTCCAAGGGATCTGACACCCACCACTGGCCTCCATAGGAATTGCATGACATGTGTGCACTTATACATATTCATGCAAAGCACTCATACACATAAAATAAATAAGGGTTTAAAAAAACGAGTAGTGATGGTCATATTGTCTAACTGTGCTTTTGATCTTATCCCAAAAGTCAAGAATTCATATTATCATAGTATGGAACCAACTGACTGCATGCTTTGCACCTACACACAGGGAATGGGAACAGGTTGGTGGTGGTATTAGACATTTTAGGGTTCTTTTCATATATTTGCAAAGTTCTTTTCAGAACTACTCGGTATAGACTGCAGCTGCCTGTGTTCGTGAGGGCTCCCTTTGCATCGTTCCATTCACTGAGCATGCTCCTGCATATTTTGGTCTGGACCATTTGATAAAGGAAGCATATTTATCACACATACTTGGTTTGGGGCGGGAGAGATAGCTCAGTGATTAAAAGTGAGTATTGTTCTTCCAAAGGACCAGAGTTTAGTTCCCAGCACCCGTGTCAGGCAGCTCATAACCACCTGAAACTTCAGTTCCTAAGGCAGCCAATGCCCCTAACCTCTGTGGGTACCTACACTCACATACCCACACAGACACACGTGCACATAATCAAAAGCAAAATAAATCTTTAAAAAATACTTGGATTTTAAATGATTAGTGGATTTAAGCATTCCTCACTTGCATGTTCTCATTTGTTATTATTGCTGTTATTGTGAGAGAAAAATGAAAGACTTTCTCAGCACAAAACCTTTTAGGAAAAACACACAAAACAGATCTGTTCTCAGAAATTCTTTTGCGTTCACCCATGAAAATACTGTGTGTCATTTATGATACAAGGTTTTCTGGCTTTTACATTTATGTTTAATCCTAAAATGTTAAGCCCTAAAATGTCTTCCTTTTGTCTTTATTTTAAAATTTCATATCCTCTGGGAAGTCGAATTAAATGTCGTCATTAAATACAGATCTTAGCAGATTTTCTTATCTATCTATATTAAATGGTTGTTTATTTTCGTATGTGGATCAATCATCCATCATTAATCAAGTTAGATATTTAGTGGAAAAGAAGAAAACAAACCACTTCTCCCTGTGCTGCTCCCCTAAGCCTGGCGAGCTCACCCTCTCCTCTCCCCATCACTGCTGCATTGGCAAAGCTGAAGACAACCTAAAAAGGTAACCGTGTTTGCAGTCAGAGTTTAGGCTTCCATAAACACATTTTAAACC